CCCTTGGGGGTGGAAGTGCAAGTTCTAGCATGAGTGGGGGGTGGCCATGTCTGGAAGGCAGAGCGGACTTATTCTGTTTCCTCTTCCCTCGCCAGGCTCAACAGAGAAGCTTAATCGGTGCCGTCAACTGGGTGCGGATGTAACAATCAACTATCGCAAGGAGGATTTTCTGACATGTGTCAAGGAGGAGACTGGTGGGAAAGGTAATGTTAGCTACCTTCCATATAGTTCTGGGATTATGCTGTAGCAAATTTATATTGAAGCCTGATCAGCTGGTCAGCTTTTGGCTGGTTCAGATATGACAACCTTTTGCCTCTTCTGCATTGGATTGTTACTTTGTGACTGTCGCCAGGTGTAAATGTGATACTTGACAACATGGGTGCTTCCTACTTGGAGAAGAACCTGTCCTGCCTGGTGGAGGATGGCCGAATGATTGTGATAGGCCTTCAGGGTGGTCGCATTGGCAGTGTGGATCTAGGACGCATGTTGATGAAGCGGCTTTCCCTGCATTGTAAGGATCTGCATATGGTTGTTGTGTGTTATCTGTTTTCATTTGCGATAGTAATAACTGTAACTTCTTCCTTGTCTTCGCAGCTGCAGGCTTAAGGTCCAGACCACTGGGTCAGAAGGCAGAGATTGTGAGGGAAGTGGAGGCCAACGTTTGGCCACTCATCTCCTCTGGACAATTGAAGCCCGTAATATTTCAGGAACTCTCCATGGCAGATGTGCAAGTTGCACATGCACTGATGGAGTCAAGTGTTCACATTGGAAAAATAACACTTATTCCATGATTTTTGTGGTGCCAACATGGGACGTGCTGCTGGGCTCCTCAGAACGAGAGCATGGCCTTCTGAAGATTCGCTGGCAATTCAGTCAGAATTGAGTGAAAATGAACCAGCTCATTATGGTGGATCCTTTCTTGAGCGCTTTGACAAACGAGACGCTCCCTGCAAAGATGCAGGTTAGACATTGTGTAGAAGAAAAAAAATAGCAAGACACATGTACCTTACCTGGGATTGAGAATAATTTGCCGTGGAAAATGTTGCAGCTGTGCCTTCAGATTGCTCACAACGGGGATGTGATGGGATCTGGAATCACAAAACAGCTTTCAGAATGCAGCGCAATTACCATTAACACGCATTCTCTCATCCCTGATAATACCACCCCACTGCATTAATGGCAGCCTGACTGCCCATAGCACTTACTGATGCAGCAGAGTATGACAATGAAGGGCTGGCAGGCTTTGAAAAGGACCGGTGCTGTTCACAAGCACAACAGCCTGTTAGCCTGTGCCACCCTCAAATGTCTAAAAAAAAATGGCTTTATTGTACCTTCTTGAGCCGTCCAGTTACAGCTGAGGCAGAACATTCTATGTCTTCAGTGGATGTGTATTTCAGACTGTGATTCAAGCACCGCTCCTTCCAGACTGCCAGCTCGCTCTTTGCCTGACATAATGAAGTGACCTTGTCAGCCCCACCCCAATGAACAACACAAGCTACTGGCAGCTAGTCTAACCATTCTCAGCTTCTGAGCAAGTGCCTGTACTTGTGAACTGTTAGAGTCTTCTTGCTCTTCGTTGGCTGATTTCAGCAGTTCAACCCTTTCAAGCAACTCATTCTGCCAAAATAGAATGGCTTTGAGAAAAAATAAGGAAAAGGGGGGCCACAGATGGTGGTTGTACCAGTACCTTCTCATTGCGTAGTCTTTTGGCAAGACTGCGCATTTGTATGAGAGTGTTCTCATGGTGTAACAACCTCTTATTCACCAGCTCCATCTCTTTTTGGTGAGCGTGACACTCATCCAGTGCAGACTTTAGTTGACCTGTAACACCACATTGAACGTGAGGGCAGATTTAGCTTAACGCTGCTACCTGCTTGCTTAACGTACCTGCTTCTTTTTTCAATGTCGAGGTTTGCAACTCCATTTTGTTTTGATAAACGCGACACTCATCCAGCTCGCACTTGAGTTGCTCTGTAACAACATTATAAGTGAGGGCAAATTTAGCCTAACGCTGCAGTCTCCTTGCTTAACGTACCTGCTTCTTTTTTCAATGTCGAAATCTGCAACTCCAGCTCAGAAATCTTCCTCTTCATTGACGCTGCTTTCTCATCCATCTCAAGCTTGGTGTCTTGATGGAATTTGAGGTCTTGAAGGATAGATGTGCATGCAATTTTGTGGTCAGCCTTGGCCGTTTCAAGCTCTGTGTCCTTCAACGAAAGTGTCTGTTCCAGCACGGCATTTGAGAGCTCCAACTCAGGAAACCTCGTCTGCAAGTCCGCCAACTCCTTTTCTGCTCTGAGCTTCGCCTCTTCATGGCATTTAAGGTCTTGCATCATTGATGAGACCAGAATTTCATGCTCAGCCTTAAGCCTCTCAAGTTCGGCCTCCTGCGATGAGAGGTTGTGCTTGAGCCTCACGTTACAAAGCTCCATCTCAGAAAAACTTATCTGCATCGATGCTGCTTTCTGCTGAAAGCCTTGTACTGCTTCTTCGTGTTGCTTCAGGCATTGACTCATGGATGAGGCCAGCGATGTATGCTCAGCATTAAGCCTCTCGACCTCAGATTCTCGTGAAGAAAGGGTTGATTCGAGGAGCATAATTTGCTGTTGGCAGATGTTAAGTGACTTCTTTAGCTCCTGGTTTTGATTCCTTAGAGATGAAAGCTCCATTTTCTGAAAAAGCGACGGGGTTAGTTGTGGTCCATGGAAGGGAATGACAAACGGTTGGCTTGCAGGGTGAGTAAGTAACTAGCCTGGTGGTGAGCGGATCTGGAAAGATCTTGAAGTCGCTTAACCAGTTGTGCTGCATGGAAGAACGGATAACTGTTAGCTTGTCTGGCACGGACTTCAACACGTGGTAAAAAAAGGTTCGTACCTTTTTCAGCGGTTGCCTTAGACATGTAAGAGGCACGTTCCTCATCTTTATCTTTCCTGGATGTCGCCAACGATTCCTCCAGCTCCTGCACTTTGCGTCTCCCTGAAAAACATTAACTCATGAAAATACTGCCAGTGTTGAGTAAGTCCAGAATGACATTTACAGCCCTACATTCTTCAATACAACCATTAAGGTCGCTCTTTGCCTTAATGAGCGATCGAGTATGTAATGTCGAATGAGCAAGCTCGTCGATTAGCTTGTTCTTTTCCTTTAAAAGATCTTCTGTTACAATGTCTCGCCGCCTCCTTTCCTCGTGTATTTCATGTCTGAGTTTTTCGGCGGTACCTCTCCAGTATTTCTCTACGCAGGCAAATCAGGAGTATGAGCGGCACGAAAAGTAAACAGAAGAAAGTTAGTACCTCGAAATTACTTACTGGACCTTGCTTCTTTTTGTAAGGCCTTCAAGAATTGCAAACCAAGAAACAGAAATTGTTTCTTGCTGAGTTGTATATTAGGTGACGTCTCCGCAGGTGCAATAGTGAAGCCGGATGACGTTTCCCGTGACGTAATAATGGCGTAATTCTGGTGTTGAAAATCCCATTGCCGCCAAGGTGTGCGCATATCCACTTGAATCTCCAACGCTTTATGTGTCACCTGTGTATCATCGGTTGTCACGGAAAAGCTGAGCTTAGAAGGAATCTTAGACAGATGAGTGTCCTGTGTATCTTGGTGTTTGGTAAGGTCTACGGGTTGAGGGCCACAAAGTAAGGCGTCGAGATTCGATTGGCAGAGACTTCCAGACAAGCGTAAGCTTGACTCGGAGCTCGCATACGGAGGATCTTCTATGCTATCTTTGTCTTCTGCGATGAATAAAACGCGTCCCCCACTTCCGTCATTGTGTGCATCGAGACCAGTAAAAACGACGCGAGAGTAAGTCTCGGCTGTTGAATCCGCCCCTGCGTGCCCTTGTGCATTGCCCATAGCTGCGTTAGTGGAAGACAAATAGAAGACACCCACAATGGAGACCGCTATGGTTCATCTCAAACTTGAAAGGTCATTTCCTGTTTGCTCACAGTTCGCAAAACGGCAATCACGATGAACGGCTTCGCTGTGATCGGGGTTGGATTATGAAGGCCCTATATCGAGACAACTACAAAAAGGTGTATCACGATTCACAATATCTACTTTGATGCTCTACAATGAAGTTCTTAACTAGATACGTAGACACACACAATATCTGGGATAATTATTAATAAATTATGAATTATGCCTTTTAAAAGAACTGTGAAATGCATCATTAGTCAAAATAAACAGATTTCAATAGGATGTGATTTTCTAATATACATAATTGAGCCCAAGTACATGAGAACCATAGGATAATTCCATTTTTATAGTCCTTGAAATTGATATAATAATGCATTTTTCTTAGGTGGTATGGGTGGGTAGGCTGTTAGCATGATTGGCATAACTTGTTTCAATTCAGTGTTGTGGTGGCGTAACCATCTGAATTACTAACAGGGAAGCGCCTCCAACGAATTTTCATCCTTGGGGGATCCCACCCACACCAAGGCACAACGGCTACTTTCCCGAATTTCAGTTCCCGCCAAAAGACATCACCGATCTCACATGCTTTGTTGATAAGTGATGCACTACAAAGGAATGTTTCCTCACAAGGTTAGGTATGCTGGTCTGAATGGAATCTGTTTTCAAGTTGCAGAGACATCATCGTTGCTCTGCAATGGAATCGTCGATTCCATGGGGCAAAATTATGGAAAAGCTCGACGGTCGAGATATTATGTCCCTAGCATTATGCAATAAGTCCTTTCTATCTATTGCCATGGAAGAATACACATGGAAGACTCGCTGTCTACGGGAGCTGGGCTGCAATGCACCCTCTAATAAGCCCCAATTTGGTTGGCTGGACATCTACAAAAGCATTATAGGTACTACATTTTTTGTTTACTCTGGATATCAGGCGTGCAATGTCTGACCCCTATCATCTGGTTTACAGACGGCAGTCACACTTACAGCTCAAGGCAATCCGACAAACACATTGGTAAGTGACGACACAAGGATCTCCTGCTTGATTTTCGCGACAGCCGTATTTACTTCGTCTTCCAGATTGGATGAGAATTGGAGCATTTTCGGTCACCAGCGGTAGAGTCGTAGCGACCGACACACTTCAAAAGGCAGCTGGATTCCAGCGGGAGGGAGACTCAGAGGTCAGACTCGCATCACTAGGTAGTTTAGCGGTTCGTGTTGTTGAAACTTACGCCAGGCGTGGTTTCAGTGCAATGAAGACTGCGGCTTGATGGCTTCCTGGACAATTGACGGCGTCCAGAACGGAATATGGATTGCAGGTAGACTGCTGATGTTTTTTGGCTAAATCTATATGCTGACACATTCCTAATACAACACTGTTGCGTCGTACAGATCTCCACCTTGTCCGCTGTCCTGTTTGCAGCCTCAAAACGTGTGAAGGTAAGATGATTCGGCTTCAACTTCCGCTTCGTTGAACACGAACCCATACAGCAACGCTTTTCCCTGCACAGGCACCATGCAAACACTTGACGCAAGGCATTATGAGCTGTTTCTACATGATGAGTGGAAATGTGGGGAGTGGAAATACGAGCAGCTAGCCTCACACGAAGCGCCGTTTCACTGTCCCCAAGCTGCTGGTGGACTTTTTGATGCAGGAACCATTGGCCGTCAAGAGCTAAAAGGTAAGCGCAACTCCATTACTGGCCGGATGTAGGATTGTGCTGTAATTGCTGACTGTATCCTGGATAGATATTCTGAACACAAGCAAATGGGTCGCCCCAAATGGAGATTGGCAACCAAGGTACTGATGCCACTGACTGTCTGGTTTGTTGTTGGGGGGGTGAAATGGTCTAAACTCTTCTTCCCTTTCAGGAGTATAGCACGGTCCCATGCAGTTGCTGCCAGCACGAACTTGCAGCCTAATGAAGGTATGGTAAACAGTCTCATTATTCTCCTAGAGCTCCTAAAGTCTCATTCATGAGGTTCATTTACAGGACTGAAAGTGAGATGCGAAGTTCTCAAAGGAACTGGAGGGCGAATATCTGGATTAAGAGTTTCGCAACAATTACTGTAACATGCAGCAACCAAGTCAGACAGATAAAGATGAGTCTTCGGTGATTCCAGAGGCGGCTGAAGGTGCCAAAACCGGCCTGGGCAAGAGGATCAATCAGATAAATCTACACTACCCAACTGCAGCATAGAACATGCATATGGTCATCAATTTACTTATTGGAACCGATCAATAACTACTTCTGCTGCAATTTTGCTGGGAGTGGGTGCTTCCCTGGAGTTAGGAGCATGTCCATCAGTTCTGTTCAGGGGCTCTTGCAAAGCATTGAAGAGCAGTTGAGCAGTAGCGCACTGGTCAGCCTTGCAGCTGTCGAAGTTTTCCATCAAATTCCTGGGCGAATAAAAAAGGCATCCTCAGTGATGTACTTTCATCAACACAATAACAAAACACAAGCTTGTCATATAAGGTGCCATAACATGCTTAGAACGGCCGTGGTTCCATTTTGCAAGATGGGTAAAGATAGACACAATGATGCACGCATACCTGATAACAGATGACAGCCTGTGTGAGGTACACTCAGAAAAAAGGACCTCAGGAAGTGAAGGCTTGTTAAGGAGAATATTCGGCAGTGATGCAAACTGGATAGAAGCCCTGAAATGCAGACAAAAGCAGTCCAAACTGATGGAGTGGATGGAAAATACCGGTCACATCACATCAAAATTTATGGACCTAGCCCCTTACCAAGTTCTGTGCAGCCAAAACATATCAAGAATGACATTACATACCATCTCTTGACAATGAATTGAGTAATCCAGTGGGCCTTATACGTCACAACCAGGGGTAATTGCGAGCGAAGCACCTCAAGCACCACTGAACCAGAAACACAGAGAGCAAGATCACATGCCTGCATGCAAAAACACGGTTATGACAGGATTAAGGCACAGGAGACCACCACTATCAGTGAATTCAAAGCACGACAACATGAAATAGGGATGGAACTGGATGGGGAATGCAATCTCAGAATCTCACAGCAAGTGCGTCCGTATGTGGACCAGTCTTGATCGTTTTGCTTTTGCTTGTTCTGTTTGCACAAGTGTTGCCCTCCGGTGCAGGAACCACTACTGCAGCTGCAACATCAACCACTAAATCAGTCTCCATAGATTGAGATAAACTGAATGGAAACCTCCAGCTGGAGTTCTTAGATTTTAAAGACTCAAGCCATGAATGAAGAATGTTTTGGACAAGGACAGTCACTTCTGAAGAGCGTGGAAGGGTTGGAATAACCAGTGACAGTTTTCCACCTGAACCCTGGGAATCCAAATAATCCCTGAGCCACTCTGATGCGGTCAGAATCTTAACACTTTGAAGGAATATAGGCAGCATCCTGGATACTTCTTGCAGGCGGCTTCCTGGAAGCAGGCAGATGGTTATGTGTTGGGGCCCGACTGAGAAAGGGCAAAACATAAAGAAGCAACTTCAGTTGAGTGCATACTTGATCAACCTCCAAATCAGACTCAGATGGCAAGCAATCAGCCTCTAGAACATTGCAAGTTCACATGCCCATAGCACAAAACCTTACCTGGAATGCCGTGTTGCTGCCGGAAAGCTCTTCCATCCCCACTCGCCCTCCACCATGGTCCATTCACCACATTATAACCCCAATCTCCTCGCAATCCTTCCTCTCCTGGCTCTTCTGCTTCTTTAGTTTCTCCACTCCCACCTTCCCCTCTCCACTCCCCAACATCTTTTCTCCCTGCTTCCCCACTCTGCCTGGTACTCCGATCCTCAGCTATGGTCTCAAGAACCGGATGCCCCACATACGTTGCTGGGATGCCATGCTGCTGGCACGTGGCAGGCTCATGAGGCAGGATGCATAGAAGATGGTCCATCAACGGTGAGAGATTCTGCTTGGGGGAGGGCAGGAGGTTTGTGGGAGAAAGCAGAAATCTAAAACAAGACAGCCATGGAGCTGACATATACAACAATGGGAAATATGCTGTGGTGGAAACGGTGGATTCACAATTTACATGCACATAATTAAACAGACATTCACCTCAACATAATCACACTCAAACATACTCGCAGTCTGCGCTCGCCTCCCTTGACTGCCCAAAACGACGGCGCCACATAATGCACACAGAGTGGAGCCTCCTCTCCTTGCCTACGCAGCTTGTCTTTACCTGGAGATGCACGTAAAAGCACAAAGTAACCACACACTTCATCGTGACGATGGTTTTAACAGGAGTCATTGGAGTGCAAATTTTGACCTTTTTGTGGGCTTTAACAGGTGAGATGAAGGAATCCGGAGAGTTGATGGTGATGACAATGTTCTATCAGTCGACTCAAAGTCCACAGGAATTTGTCCGATCTCCCACTCGGCTCAAAAGTCATAAAAGGTTTATCCAGTTTTCAGTCAACTTAATACTCAGCAGATGTCAACTCAGTGCAAGATCCGACCTCGTATAGCCTTTAGCAGGCGAAAATTGAAGCCTTTGGAGTCGATGGTGATGACAATGTGTGGCTGAGATTGCTCCACGTGCCGGACAGCCTGGCGCAGGCGATACTGGGAAGGGAGTGAGAGGAGGGGGAGGAGGAGGAGAGGGGGGGGGGGGGGGGGGGGGGGGAGGGGGGAGGGAGAGGGGGAGGGGTATCATGGCATCACCATGACTGTGGCCGTTCTACTCCCCAAAACAACTTCTGAGGCGCCTCAAAAGTCATGACTGTGGCCGTATACTCCCCAAAACAGGTAATGCAAGTGTGAAACGCCATATTCAATGACATATGATGTAAACAAAAAAACGTTTTTTCAACGCATAGGAGCACACATTGCTATTACACATGATTACACGGTGAGAGAGAGAGGAGTGTACCCATAGGAGTGGGATGCGAGGAATGAGTTCGACAAAGCCCATGATTGAAAGGTCTGTCATTGGGAAGAGAGAGCTGAGGCCCTGCGATGCCATCCAGGGGCTGTGGGATTGGTGGGGTGGGGGATGTGTGTGGAGGGTGGAGGATGTGTGGGTTGGCTGTCATGAACGTTTGTGGAGGGAGGATATGTGGGTTGGCTGTCATGAAGCCCCATTGAAAGGTCTGCCATTGGGAGGAGAGAGCTGAGGCCTTGTGAAGCCATCCAGGGGCTTTGGTGGAGAGGGTGGGTTTGGGTGGGGGGATTGTGAGTGGAAGGAAAGGTATTGCATGTGGAGGAAATGGGATCGTGTGTGGAGAAAGGATGGACGGAAATAGGTATGCTGAGTGACTGCGCGTGTGCGAGTACCAACGGTGTCAAAGGCACATAAAGAATAGCCTAATTACAGCAGCTACGGGTGTTAGCTGTGGCTGTCTGCACAAGGACTGATTTGAGACAAGAGACCAATATGGTGCCACCCAAAGCTGCAGTGAGCGAGGTGGGAGTGGTGACAGTGTAGGGTGATGGGGATTGTGTGTAGAGGGAGATGGAATGGAGTGCGGTGGGGCAAGTTTAGAAAACACGAATTTGTGTGAAATTGGAGTGAGGGAGAGAGGACCTTCGCAAAAAGAGTTCCTGCATCAGCATGTATTGAGAACAAAGAAGCTGCATCTGGTGCTGGGAAGAAAGAAATGCAGAAATTGGATTGTGGGTGAGGGAACCTGAAAAGGTATTTCTACAAAAGGAAGGTGAAAGATCGCACATGCACTCACGCACTAATTCACTCATGAACTCCTGCATTCCTGAACCAGGAATTAATGTGGGTGGAAGGTCACAGAAGCAGGTGGGGAACGGAAGAAAGGGGGGGGGAGGTACTAGTAATGTTCAGGTAAGGTGTGTCAATCGCTCCCTCTGACCCTCACGTGCTGGATCATTCACCCACTCACACAGGCACTCATACACTCACTCACTCACTCACCCCTCACTTGCTCACTAGACGCACCCCACACTCACCCTCCCACACCTTGAAACTCAACAGTCCCTGAACGCCTTTCCTGGAAGCTTCCTTCCTCCACCTGCTCCCAAATCTCCCCTTTCCTCCTGTTAACCTCGTCTCTCAAAGCCGCCATTAATCTGCACCCTAGCGCGTCCCCTGAAGGCTCGCCAGCAACTACAAACACTCGCAGCGCCTCGTTGGGTGCTAAGGGACGCCGTGCAGTTGGCTTGACGGGGTCTTTGGCTGGGTTGGTGGGGTGCAACGACGTGGCACCCATCTCAGACGTGGAATTTTGAAATGACGTTGTGGAATATCTGGCTGAGGTGGCAAACCCAGGTCAGACAAGGGATTGACGTGTCCAATGGTATTTCTGGCGCTGATTCTCTTGAAAAGATGGATAGACGCTGTGCCCTGACAGGAGGTACCATAAGCGAGTGCTGCTCGAGCAGCTGGAGCCTCCGTGTTTTCCACTGTGCCTCTCAACGAAAGAGCTAATATTCCAGATTTCGCCAAATTAGCGAAACTGGCCGAATTCCCCGACCTCGCCAAATCAGTGCTCATGAGGCTCCTTGGAGCAGCTGGCGACACTGATCGTTGAGGCGCCTCAAAATCTCGCGACGCTGCTCCACTTCCGCAACGGTTTTCGGGTCCCTTCGCATCCCTGGGAGCTCCTGCTGCCGATGTCTCTGACAAAGTGAAATCTGAGACAAAGGGTCCTTGTGGAGCGGTTTTAATTACTGAAAGCACGGGAGGGATGGCGACCTTCGAGTTGGAATAGCTTGGTTCCGGGTACAAAAGTAAGTTCGCGTGGATCGTAGCATCTGAGCGATTTACGCAGCTTCAATGCGCATAAGAAGCGCCTAATTCTAAACGCCATGATCTTCCCCTGACCTCGTCGGTCACACCCACCTCGTCTACCCCATGCAGTACTATATGCGTCAGCGTACGACTCGACCCGAGCCTAACTGCGCGGTCGCCTCAGTTATGCCTGAACGACGAAGTACTGAGCTCAGAAAATAACTAGTAAGGTCGCGCACATCCTGCTGATCAGACTACTGATGGCCACTTTTTTTGCCCCTCAGTAAATTTACATCAAATGGTTGGGGAAAATGTGTTGCGAGCTTGCAAACGGGTAATACTTTTCGATGGCGATTTCGCGAACTGTAACGATGCCCATCGCTGCTGCTTCGGGTGTCAAATCCAAGTGCGAATCTCGATGGCTTGCGGGCAAACCGTGATCGTAGATAAGCTGTGTTTACAGTGCAATCGACGGTTTGCACAGCTCACGAATCTTGTCTGTCCAATCAAGCGCATTATCTAAATTCGCAACAGCCAGCACATCAAAAGCTCCATTCATACCCGCATCACCGACTGAAAACCAATTGAACCAAGCCGAAACCTGACATTGTCTTTGATTCTTCTAATCCGTGAAGTGTTCGTCTCCCATTTCACAAAATTTTCAGGAATTTAGCCATGGCTGCCACGTCGCTCAGCTGGTCGAATCGCGTGCTCTCAGGCCCCGTTTCGCGAGACGCAGGGTCGCTTGCTTCTCACAAGTTCCCAAGCAAGAGCTTAGCATCGAGTCGCGTGGTACCGGTTCAGTCCCGAAACGCCGCTAGGAGGTCCGTACTTCAAGTCGAAGCGCGTGCCATTCTAGACTTTTTCACAAAACGAGGCGCTCCGGAAAGCGACTCGGGAGAGTTCCGAGAAGGATGGGCGTATGCTCCGTGGGAAAGGGTAAGCCACTGCTGGCCTCGTAGGGTAAGCTGTGACTGTCTTTGAAACAACAGTGCGAGCAAGACGCACCATTGCCAAACGGTGGGAGACATTGCGTGTGGCCGCAGCTGGGTTTTTTTTAGCAAAGCGTTTGAATCAGGTATTTGGAATAGCAGATTGTGAACCTGGTTGCTGTTGTAGAAACAGCCGTCTACTTTTCATAAATCTCCTCCATCACCATACCACCAAACACGACGCATTGTGTAAACACGCCCTCTATCAGGTGCGGCTCGGTCCGTTCTCGGTGTCTCCTATGGGCCTCGGAACGTGGGCGTGGGGAAATAAGTTCCTGTGGGGATACGACAAGGAAATGGACGAGGAGCTTAAGGAGGTATTTGACCTGGTCGTGTCGCGCGGGATTAATATCTTCGACACGGCTGACTCCTACGGAACTGGAGCGCTTAGCGGCCGCAGCGAGCAGCTCCTGGGCCAATTCATTAAAGAGTACCCCGGTAAGGAGGAGCCCTTCCTGGTACAAAGGTTTCTAGCTCTCTCTCTTCGTCCAAATTAGTCCGCTCTCGTTCTTTCTCCCACCGCATCGCTCGCGTCTCCTCCTGTCATAATCTACGACCTGTTACAGGCTTGTCTTCGAAATCCGGACTCAGTTCTGGTGTCTCCTACCGCCATCATCATGCAACATTTGCATCTTTCCCATTTCCCCACCTCACCCCACCCCACCCCACCCCACGCCAGGCAGTGACAAGTACCGCAGTGACATCCGCATTGCCACCAAGCTCGCCGCGTATCCCTGGCGCCTCACCCCCGCACAGATGGTGGGCGCCTGCAGGTGAGGGCTGGGACTCGCGGGAGATGGGGGAAGAGGAGACGGGGAGATGGGGGAAGACAAGGGAGATGGGGAGATGGGGGAAGACAAGGGAGATGGGAGTGAGTGTGAGCATGCTGCCATTGGCCAATGCGGCCAGCTTGGGTCTCACATCATCCGCATTGCCACCAAGCTGGCCGCGCCTCCCTGGCGCCTCACGCCTGCACAGATGGTGAGCGCCTGCAGGTGAGGGGGGACTCGCGGGAGATGTGGGAGATGGGGAGATGGGGGAAGACAAGGGCGGTTAGAGTGAGTGTGAGCGGCCTCACATCATCCGCATTGCCACCAAGCCGGCCGTGCCTCCCTGACGCCTCATCCGCTCTCCCACCCACAGCACAGATGGTAAGCATGGAGACACAGGCAATAGGCCAGTTCATTGGTCCACATCTAGACCTCCTGCGGTATTCACGGCTCTCCTCCTCGCTTCTGTCCTCTCATATCCTCCATATGTTTCCCTCCTCTCCACTAAATCGTCTGGGCTTGGGGCAGCTGGCAGTAGGCCAGCTGCATTGATCTGCAGGTGCAGGCAACGTCCCTTCTGTATTCACCCTCTATCAGAGCCTCACTGGATTGCATCGCCTGCGCTTGGAGAAGCTGGCGATAGGCCAGCTGCACTGGTCCGCAGCCATCTATGTTCCTCTATAAAATATTCCCCTCTTTTTTGTACCCCCTTCTTTCCTCAATTCTTCACCTTTTTTACCCATCAGGGCATCACTGGATCGCCTGGGCTTGGAGAAGCTGGCGATAGGGCAGCTGCACTGGTCTGCTGCCAACTATGCTCCGTTTGCAGGAGAGGGTGCTGTGGGATGGGCTCGTCGCCATGTACGAGGAGGTGAGATCGAGATTGAAACAGTATGAGGAGGTGAGATGATACCATACAAAGAGGTACTTGTAAGATACGCAAGAGCATATGAGATGAAACTGGTGCTATTGAGGGAGTGTAGTGTAACCCTTGCCATGCAAAATAATATCTACCTGCAAAAATATGGCATTGAAAAACTTCAGTTATTTATTCGTGTCCTTCCCCCCCACACCACTCCACCTCTAAATCCCCCCTCCCTCCACCACCAGGGCCTGGTGGAGTGTGTGGGGGTGAGCAACTACGGCCCCCAGCAACTCGTGTTTTGAGTCGACTCAAAACCTTAGCACTCCATGTCTACATTCCTCCTCCCCCCACCACCAGGGCCTGGTGGAGTGTGTGGGGGTGAGCAACTACGGCCCACAGCAACTCGAGCGAATCTACACCTACCTGCAGGAACGGGGAGTGCGCTAGCTTCGGCACAGGTACGGCACGACTCCCAAATGCATGCCATGATTTATATCACTGTGCACAGTGCACAACCCATTCGGTGGGTTTGTCATGTACTGGATGGATAGCCATGGTAGTTTCTCAAGGGGCCTACAAAATCGTCTCAGTTCTCACGAGCCATTGGGTCCTCAAGGGCTCCTTCATCTTCGTGACTTTTCATGCCATAGCGTGGCAATCATCACTCGCTTTTGAGCATCACTTAAAGGACTGCTCACGAGCCATTCAGTTCCTTCATGCAATAGCGTGGCAATCGTCACCTCATACTCCTTTCTTCAGTTTTCCTTCATGGAACCAACCATTCGTAACCTTGTGTGCCCCCAGTTCAAACACCACCCATCCGTCCACCCACCCCACCCACCCACGCACCACCCATTCACCGGCCTACCACCCATCCACCCATCCATGCGTCCAACCATCCATCCATCCCGTGCCACCAGGTGCAATTCTCCCTCTTGAGCTCGGGTGAAGAGCAGGACGACCTGCTGGCCTTCTGTGAGGCCAATGGCATCCGCGTTATAGCATACTCCCCCCCTCGCTCTCGGCGTGCTCTCGGGGAAATACAGCGCTGACAACCTGCCGCAAGGCCCAAGGTGCTCACTAACGGAATCTCTCACAACGGCTTCCAGGCGCTGCTTAATCTTGCCCTCGCTTTGCTTGCATGCTGTTTCATGAGCCTAACCATTCTGATGGCGGAATGCATGGCACAGTCATGCTGACTTGGTATTGCTTTTGAGAATGCTCAAAAGTAACACCAAAATAGCTGTTTCCACGAGCCTTACCATTCTGATGAGGAGTGCATGGCACAGACATGCTGACATGTCATTTACGCACCGCCAGCCACTCAAGCAACCATGCCGCCACTCATTTAACCATGCCCATTCAAATTCCATCCCATCATTCTCTTGCACCCTCCCTTGTTTCATCTGTGCACTACTAACCCCTCTCCTCCCCCCCAACTCTTGTCCAACCTTGCCCACCCTCTCTCCTGACAAGCACCCTCCAACCATCCTCCTCCTTCCCCCACACCTGTTTCTTATTCTCAATCCAGAGGTATTTTGTTCCAACAACTGCTGCCCGGCCTGGACCCTCTTCTTGGCCTCATGACGGAAATCGGGGAAAAGCGAAACAAAACCCTGCCCCAGGCAAGTTAATTTTGAAACTTATCTCATCCCAAATTTTCTACGTCATTTCACTGCCCCGCATTCCCTGTTCTACTTGTGATGCTGTGTCTTCTTTTGACTGCTCTGCTCTGCTCTCCATCCTGCTCTTCTGCTCCATCACATGCTGTCTCGATCTCACTCATCTCACAAAACACGCAGCAATCTACTAATACATGGCAAGCAACTGTTGCATGGCCAAGGGCGCGGTCTGGTCCTCATTCCAGCAGCATTCTCCACATGGAAAACACTCGAATGTGTCTTTTTTAATGTGACATCTTTATATGCTCCACCTGCCCGCCATGTCATCAGGTGGCAATCAACTGGTGCATGGCCAAGGGCACGGTCCCCATTCCAGGAGCCAAGACGTGGAGCAAGCAAAGGAGAATCTCGGAGCGCTTGGCTGGCGGCTGTCGTCCAATGAGGTTGCAGCTTTGGATGACGCTGCTGCTGAGGTGCCACGGCCAATGATCCAAAATATCTTCCAAACCAAGTGACGTATAGGTGGGATGTTGTAAGTTACACCGTAGGGCTCAGAAACTAGGATACTGAATTTGCTGTTGCGGTAATACTGCTTTGGATGATGCTGCTGCTGCAGTGATCCAAAGCATCCTCTAAACCAAGTGACATGAGGGTTGGGTTGCTTGCTGCTAAAAGTTTAAATGTATGTTGGTAGTTAGCTGAATCAACTTGTTATTACTGTTTCAGATGAGCTGCTGCTGAGATGTGTGTGACTGCCAGTGTGTATCTTCCCAACAGACCAGGCCCTCAGATTGGTTTGAGGGTATGCTGATGGATCAGCGTGCCCCTGCCAACCAGGTGTCCAAATCAGCGTTGGTGGTTTTCAATATACTGATCCTGTCAGGGTAAAATTTTCAGTGTAAAAAAGTCCAAAATAAATATACCTAACTGTCAAATGTTGTAGCCTGTAGTGAGGTTTGTCTTCAGGGGGTACAGAAGTTAGGGTTTGTCATATGTTACCCCAACCAACATCAATGGAACACCCATTCCTCATTCTGACACTAACCTAACCTACCTAACTAGTACTACTAGAGAACTAGCTCATGTCATCATCTGAAGAAGAAACGCTACTGCTACTGCTGCCATCATCATCACTCTGCAGACCTTGCACTTGATTGACGGGAACCCTGCTTTATTCTGCAGCAGTACAAGCCACGGGTAGTCGTCAGACCATTGTTTGTTAAACATAGCTAAAGCCTCTTAGTATTTCTCCTCGGCAATGTCGGGCAGTTCTGTATCGGAAGACACCTCAACCGCTTTCCCCTTCATTTTACGCTGACGGGCCTTAGGGGAAGAGTTACCCACACCGGACGTTGGTGTAGCTTGACTAGAACCCCACCCGATCTTGGTCTGGTGGTACCTCACTTTAATACCCCTTTTAAGACGAGGACCTTGCCGAGTAGTTCCGGCAGCGACAGGTTGACGGTTCCGTGTGGGTTCGGGAGCGGCAGGTGTAGATCCGACAGCGTCAGGAGTTGATGCGGCAGCGACAGGCGTTGATGCGGCAGCGACAGGCGTTGATGCGGCAGCGACACGAGTTGATGCAGCAGCGACAGGAGGTGAAGCGGCAGCGCCTACATGCGTCGAACACTCGCCCTGCGTCCAGATGGTAGGTGCCTCGGGGCCAGTGGAAGGGAACGGCACGGCTTGAGCTGACGGCGGGACTAACGCGGGAGCAGCGTGAACGCGTCGTAAAAAGTCTAAGCCAGTAATAGCGGCTGGCCTCGTGCCTGCGACGGGCGGAGGGCCGTCACCTGCGGGCGTCGAAATCGCCATGGCTGCTCAGCGCTGCAGAGCATGCCGAGCTTGAGGGAGAAGCTACTCCTGCTTCAGCTCGAACATCACTTCCTGCAGGGGTTCACGAGGAGTGCAGGAACAGAATGAGGGAGCAGATGGGGGTACCCACTCTCCCGAGCTGCGATGACGAGGGATCTTGGTCCAGGCCAGGGTTTCCGTCTTCCCAGGCAAGATGACAACACCCCCACTCCACTCTGCCATCCTGGCGTGTTGGCGTGGACCCTGCCACCAGTGGTGTGTTGTCTGTGTTCTCATTGGGCAGTTGTGAACTAGGTTAGCCGTTCTCTGGTATTCTGGCTTCCAGCGCGGCAAAACGGTTCGGCGCGCACTAGCTGTAAATACAGCGCATGTGAGAAGATTCCAAGTGTGTGTGGGGTTTCGTGAATCACGGAAGGAACAGCCTGACACGCGTCGCCCCCACCCCCCCCCCCCCCCCCCCCCCCCCCCCCCCCCCCCCCCCCCCCCCCCCCCCCCCCCCCTTTCCCCGGCCGGTCAAATCCGTTTCAGGGTGACGCACTGAAGTATACTGATTCCTCAGTGTAACTCGTTCCGAAACACACAAAACCGTCAGTGTGGCAAACTCACATTTACTGAAATTTCAGCCCAAAATGGAAGCATTTACTGATTTTCCAGGGAAAACGAAATTCAGAGCTACAAAATCAGCGTAATCAGCGTGTTTTACGCTGACATCTGAGGGCCTGCAACAGACAGTTATACACCATGCTGACAAGAACGGACGGAATGGACACTACATGACCATGACATCCCCATGTTGCTTTTGCTGCGTACAACAATGTCATTACAAGAATGGATTGATCCATTACAAGAATGATTTACCTACGGTACATGACATTGCGACGAACTAATTGCAGCTTCATCAAGAGTTGTCTTGATTTAACGAGGGAACAGCACATCAAGCATGTCATTGGCTAGCACGTTCTTGGGATCCAGCTTCCGGCGATACTCATTCAACTTGGCCACGGGGAAATCGCGAGCAACGCGTGACACCAGCCACTCACGAGTGGCAGGATCAGCGGGGATCTGTGCAATTGGGGATAAAGGGAGGAAGTAATTTAATTGGAAATGGAGGGATGATAAATCCAAAGAATATGAACACAACAGTCAACAGTGGAGAGAAAAGAAGTTGGAGATAGAATAGAACACAAAGAAAACATGGGAAAGGAAGGTTGGGAAAAAGTGGACTATGAAAAGGAGGGAGGGAAACAACACTAGTTAACAAAACCCTCCAAAAAACACATCCTCTTCCTTTGACATCCAAACTTACGTTGATGTAAGCTCATCAATTGCCCTCTTTTACTTGTAACGGTCATACAGTACCTCAATCTTTGCCCAATGCTCATGTGCTCCGTATTTGTCCCACAGCCTTCGGGCAGTCAAAAACTTGTAGTCGAGGAAATGTTTGGTGATGGCTGCCCGTTGGTCAGGGTCATTGGAAGGCAGGTACATGATTATGCCCACCTGCATGTGATGGGAAAGCCCGGCACAAGTATATAAAAGATCCTGATGAAGAGGGTGATGAGAAAGTTAAATCGAATGAAGGCAGCTTGGATGTGGATGGTTGTGTTGAAAGGAACAATAGAGGTGAATAATGATGCCTTACATACTGTTTGATGTTACCCATATAAGTGAGCATCATACCACATACCAACAAATAAACATACTGACACATCCTTCGGCACCTGCACGCATGAGTGTCAGCAGCATTTCCACATACCCATGAGTACACATCATCCAGCGCTCTTCCATCGGCCGCCGAACCTGCTGCCGAACTTGCTGCCGAACCTGCTGCAGCTGTTGCAGCATTAGCAGCGTTACAAGCACCGGCAGTGGGGCTCATCGGGCTTCGACTGCCGCTGGTCCAGCGCTGCTCGATGGGAGCAGGGGCGGGGATGCCCTCTGATTCGATCAGCGTCAACAGCTCTTCCATATAAGCTATGTCTGCCGCGTTGCTGCTGCTGGGCGGCGGCGGTGCTGCTGGTGGTGGTGCCGCTGCCACCGCCTGCCTTGAAGCATACTTCAGACACCCACTGCTGCCCACCACAGTCAAAGCCCAGTATCTGGTCGCTCCATCCTTCCCTGCACAAGGAAATACTGATTCAGTACAATGCGCCTAATTGTTATTATGTTAGGTATTATTACAACGAGAAACTAGCGTGGGTGCTCAACATACCTCATGTGCATAGACGGACATCACACTCACAGACACACGCGCATACACGCACATGCAGGCACACATACACGCATACCTTGTGATCAGTCTGGTTATTCACATGAGGTGATTTTTGAGTCAACTCAAATGTCAACTCGTTAATGGCCCGCACATGGTCCAGATTCGATGGATCTGACCACTACGAAATAGATGCACGTCCAAACAAGCTAGCACGTAGTTCCCACCACGCACACACACCGACCTCTCCCTTTAACCCAACTTCAAGTACAGAGCCATTCCGTGAATGATCACCCCAACAGGTCCAGATTCAATGGATCTAGCACCCACACACACTCTCACCTCTCCCCTTCACTCAGCTTCCAGTACAGTGCCTCGGCCTGGTTGATCGCCCGCACATGGTCCAGATTCAATGGATCTAGCGCCAGCAGCTCGTCCCTCAGCCTCGTGAAAGACAGTTCCTGAAGCTCAGCTTCGGTTAGGAAGCGCTGGGTCGACGCGGCAGGCTCGGCCGAACCTGTGCCAGACCACATTCCAGCAGCTGCTTCGGTGGTAGAATTTTGGCCGTGGGAAGGAGAGGAGGATGAGGCGGGGGATGGGGAGGAGGAAGGTGGATGGGACTGGGGCCTGGAAGGTTTGTTGCTGAAGGAATGGTGATGGAAAGGGAGGAGAGAAACGGGTTGGAAGATAGGTATAGCTTAAAGATTTTCAGAAATACGCTGACAATGTGGAGACTGGAATGAGATAGAGGTAAGATTCAAAGGCAAATCGAACCGAGGTGAAGTGGGACATGACGCCGAATAACACCTCGTTGAGAAACAATGTGAGCCGTTTCAAGAGCACCCATGGCATGGCCAATCAACCTGAACCTCGTGGATGGATGGTGCTACCCGTTGGGAAGAGAAACAATGTCAATCGAGACAATGTAAACCCGAAACAGAACTGAACTAGGAGAAAGCGGAATGTGACCCGAATCAAAGTTATAGGAGGCTTGCAATGCTGCCCTTGGTAGATAGATAGAATCACCCAAGGCACCAACTGAAGGGGTAAATATACAGAGTACAGAAATGATCCTGGTGCAACTGCCAAAACACATTGCATAGAAGGATGTCATCATGCTAATATGATCCTGGTGGTGATTCCACTCACCTTCTTCTCACAGCAACCGATGCAAGATACAGCACTCGCACATGAGCCATCTTCTCATCCTCACTCAACGGTGCAGCATCCCCATACCCCTCTGCGTGTGCCCATCTCACATCATCATCACTGCTTATCTCACCTTCTCCTTGCAGCAACGGATGCGAGGTACAGCGCTCGCACGTGAGCCAGCTTCTCATCCTCACCCATCGCCGGCTCACTGGCGGGTCCCTTGCCCTGCACTGCTGATCTCCCACTCGTGGCGTTAGTGACAGGGTTGCTCCTCACAACCACGACTGCCTGCGTGTGTGGAATCCACATGTACCGCACATGCTGGGAGTCCCGTAACCACTGGCTGAGACAGGGGGGAGGGGAAAGAAGGTGCTGTGATTATCAGAAGAGCATGCACTGTGCTAGTTACAAGGGCCGTGACAGGGTTGCAACTGACCACCACGGCTGCCTGCGTGTGTGTGTGGAATCCACATGTAGCGCACATGCTGGTAGTCCCGTAACCACTGGCTGGGAGCAAGGATGACATTTGATACCCCTCTTTGCCCCACTTCCTCCACCCTCTCCCCCAAACAACCACCACCACCACTTACTCACCCATGATGCATCTTAATATCCTCCTTATCAGAAACAACTTTTGAGGCGCCTAAAAAATCGTCTTAATATCCTCCTTATCGGTAAGAAACGTCTCCTCTCTCAGTCTATGCGCTGGCACTGCTTCCACCTCCCCCACCACCCCCAGTGCTCCGAGCCCTGCGTGCTAGTCTAAGTGGTCACCCCCACAATTCCTTCCACCCATGATGCCTCTTGATCTCCTCCTTCGTAGTAACAAACGTTTCCTCCCTCAGTCTGTGAGCCGGCATTGCTTGTAACTCCACCTCTCCCACCACACCCAGCGCTCCGAGTCCTCCTTGTAATTCTGAGTGGTTATCCCGCCCTCCCTCCCACTGCCTACTCACCCATGATGCCTCTTAATCTCCTCCTTGGTAGTAACAAACGTCTCCTCCCTCAACCTGTGCGCCGGCACTGCCTGCAACTCCACCTCCCCCACCACCTTCCCAACCACCCCTTGCACGTGTTTCCACCTTTCCGAAAAAACCACTCCCAACACACTCACCCATGATGCCTCTTGATCTCCTCCTTCGTAGTAACAAACGTCTCCTCCCTCAGTCTATGCGCTGGTATTGCCTGCAACTCCACCTCCCCGACCACCCAGCGCTCCGAGCCCGCACCGAGCCAGGTAAAACAGGTCCGGGTCAGCTTCGGGCGTCAGGTGCAGCGTGCCCTTGCCAGGTGTCACAAGCTTAATGGCCAGCACTTGCTCGTCCACTGGGGGAATGGCGGCCCCTGTGCCATGTGCTCCCACCTAAGGTGCAAGGCGGCAAGGGGGGAAGGTGGTGGAAAGGCGGAGGGAGAAAAGGTGTGTATCCCTGCCACGAGCAGGTGTCACGAGGTGAATGCCCAGCACTTGCTCGTCCACTGGGGGAATGGCAGCTCCTGTGCCATGTGCCCCCACCTAAGATGGGGAAGGTGGCGGAAAGGGGAAAAAGGTGGTGGAGAAGGGGGAAGGGGGATAGGTGTTTGTCCGGGTCACGAGCAGGTGTCACGAGCAGGTGGCACAAGCTTAATGGCCATGACTTGCTCGTCCACCGGGGAATGCCGGCCCCTGCTTTTGAGTCGACTAAAAAGCGTCCACTCGGGAATGCCGGCCCCTGCTTTTGAGTCGACTCAAAAGCGTCCACCGGGGGAATGCCGGCCCTGTGCCGTGTGCCCCCACCCGGTGACGTGAAACACGCGATAGCACAAGAAAGAAACAAAAGGGAAAGAAAGCGACACATGAAGAAGCAAGGTTTTCGCCCGGGTGGAGTGTCACGAGGTGCTGTGGTTGTGCTCTCACGAGCAGGTGTCATGTCACGAACTAACGGCCAAGTGAGCTCACCTGTATGAACCCCCCTATCTGCTGCTCCCGCACCGAAGCATAGTTCTGCAGAGTAAGTCCATACGGCCTTAAAGCTTCCACCACCTGCTCCACGCGCGCCCCTGCCTGCACGCGCACCCTCCCGGTGCTCTTATCCACATGCACCACTCGGTCCATCAAGGCTAGATTGACCATGCCGTGCGCTCAGAGCGATGCCGTTGGGGGAAATGGCGCCTCCTACAGGGCGGATGGGGCGACCCTCCTGTGGGCTGCCTGAACGATCCGCTCCAGGTCCTGGGAAGTAGAGGTGTGGGGGTCAGGAAGTGGGGGAGAGGGGGCAGCAGGGGAGAAGGGGGATGGGTGTACGGCAATAGCTGCTGCTATGCCCATCCAAACACACCACTCGGCCCATGAGCGCCAGGTTGACCATGCTGTGCGCGCTCAGAGCGATGCCGTGGGGGGGGATGGCGCTGATTGAACGATCCGCTCCAAATCCTGCGAGAGAGAACAGGGAGAGAGGCAAGGAGGAAGAAGGGGGGGCGGACTTAGCAGCTGGTCTGAATGCTCTCCGGTTCCCGGTGCTCTTATCCAAACACACCACTCGCCCCATGAGCGCCAGATTGACCATGCCATGGGCGCTCAGCGCAATGCCGTTGGGGGAGATGGCGCTGCCCACAGGGCGGATGCGGCGGCCCTCTGCATGGGCTGCTCGAACGATCCGCTCCAAATCCTGCGAGAGGGAACGGGGCAGGTGTGTTGAAATCACTATTGAGAATTTTCAGAGGAGAGGAGGGTGGAGCAGGGAGGAAGATAGGAGGAGGAGACTGGCTGCAGGGAGAGGCGGAGGGGGCAGGGAGAGAGGCAGAGGAGGGGGGAGGAAGAGGCGGAGGAGGGGGGAGGAAGAGGCAGAGGAGGGGGCAGGAGAGGCAGAGGAGGGGGGGGGAGGAAGAGGCGGAGGTGGCAGGAAGAGGCAGCATCAAACATACACTTTTCAAATCACCTGCATGGACTCTTGGTCGGTACACCACAGCGGCCCTAACCTCATGCGTACCGCTCCACTGGTATACACACGCACTCTCATTCATACATACACACCCCCTGCATATCAGCACACACTCGTACATGCATGCATACAATACAAGCACACACGCACCTGCATGGATTCTGGTCGGTACACCACAGCGGCCCTAACCTCATGCGTACCACTCCAATTCGACACCAACTCCCCTTCATCCTCCTCCCCCTCTTCCCCTACTCCTCCTCCTTCCCCTCTCTCTTCCCATTCTCCTCTGCTCTTTCCCCTTGCTGCTCCGCGCCTCCCCCCAAGCTACCCCCATTGCCGCCATTCCGGCAAAAATTGCTCCCCTGCACCTGCCCATGCCCCTCCGTGGTGGTCCCCCAGCGCGCTCCCCCTGATCCTCCGCCTTTTCCGTTTCCCCCACCTCCCCCTGTTCCCCGCGTGTTGCCCAAAAGCTGCGCTCTCCGCGGATCTTCCGCCCCGCTCGCGGTGGAAGAAGACATGGCGGAATTGTGGAAATGCGGGGGGGATTGCGGAGATGACGAAAGCGGAGGAAGCGGACGCCGGGGAGCTTGAGCGGAAGAGGCGGGAGGATCGGCGCGCGGGGCGGGTGCAAGCGGGCATGTTGCGCCGATCGCTGATGGAGCGGGGAACGGACGGCGGGTGTGGGGGAAGGCGGTGTGGCGCCTGTGGCATAGGCGCGAGTAGACGTGTAGCTACAAGTTAATCGGCGAATTGCGGAGTCTGCTTCGCGAGAGTGATGTCGCAACAGCCGCACGGCGGATGCCATGGCTGGCGAATTTCGCAATGATGGCTGGCGAACCCCGCAGAGGGTGACGTAGGGAGGGTCTGGAGTGGCTGCTTTACATGGTCTGCTTTATATGTACGAAGTACTCGGTGTTCCCAGGAAATGAAACCAGAGGGCCCATTCCATGAATGTTTCAGGTAGCTTCAGTTTTCACGAATCTTGAGAAGTTTTCCCGTTAGATGGTCGATCGTTTTTGCCAACAAGAATTCCGAAAGATAAATGATTTCGCGAGCGTTTTGGTTCCCTTGGCCCACCGTTAGTGTAAGGAATTTTGCTAATTCCTTACTGAGGCACCGCTTACGCGTACATTTCCAATTTTCGGAGTTCAGGCTCGGTCCGACGACCTCGCCTCCCGAACGTCTTCCGCGTCGCCTTCGGTTTTCCAAACCCAAACCTACACAAAACCTTCGCACGACTCCGCGACCTCGGCTTAGCTAGCTTGCTATATTATGCCTAGGCCCCGTTGTTTGCTCAGTAGTTGTAATCACTTCCGCGATATTGCATTCTGCGCACTCTTCTTTCATACAAATCATAACACCTGGTATCAGAGCTACTTTCCTAGGTTACCCTCCACTTCCGGGGTAGTTTAGTACAGGGGTGCAATAGGTTTGGTGGGCTGCAAAGCGGTCGGCTGAGAGATAGACACGATTATCTCGCCCGACTAATAGCGTTTGCGCCTTCATCAAAACCATAAAAATCGCTGCTAACCCCCTGCGAGTTAGACGAAGCCTGCGACACATGGACCAGGCGGAGTTCAACGAGCTCATGCAACAGTTTAGGGCGATGCAGGCCAACATGCAGACTATGTCTGGCGAGTTGGAGCGCCTGAGGGAGGAAAACGCCGAGCTACGCCAGACGCGAGGTGAAGCGCGTCAGGAGTCGCCCGCCGTGGATGAAGCAGGTAGCAGTTTCGCGCCTAACGACGAGGTCCTCAGCGAGCTACAGAACTCGCTAGACGCTGAAGACGAGCGGACATCACGGACGCAACGGGCACAAGGGACGCAGGAACAACAGTCACAACCGAGGCAACAGTCGCAGACTACGCCACGACAGGCAATAGCGACAACCCCGGTGATGGCTCCAGTGGCGCCCCTGATGCATGCAGCAGCAACAGTCTCAACAACTGTTAAAATAAACCGACGAACCCCCCCCGTTCAACCCCAGCGACAAAACCGACACTGTGTCGGCTTGGTTGTTCGGTGTGTAGAGGTGTTTTCAATGCTGCACAAATTGCTGACGATGCTACCCGCATTAATTTTGCAGTGTCACTATTGCGAGGACCGGCGTTGAGGTGGAAGCGGTCTCTTCAGCCAGAGGGGGCTCCGGCAGGGACATCACGTGCGAACGACGGGACCTGGGCAGCTTTCACGCAACAGGCAACTTCAATCTTCGGAGTGGCCACGATACGCACATGGACGGAGTGGGGCGCCGCGCTGCGAAACAGATTCGAGCATGTATCCGCCTCTGATTCTGCTCGCATGAAGCTGCGTACCTGGAAGCAGGTGGCGTCGGTCCAAGATTACACGGCGACATTCTGCAATTTGGCTGACCAAGTGGACGATATGAGTGACGCGGAACGACTCGACCGCTATGTCGCAGGCCTCAAGTACGACGTACAGTACGAGGTGCGACGGGCGAGGCCACGCGTGTTTCTCGAAGCCGTCCAGGTGGCTGAATCGACGGATGCGCTGATGCAATGGGCGAGAATGAGTTCCCGGGAGGGCACTCAATTTCGTGGACCGCCGCGCCAGCCCACAATCAACGGGGTGGATGCACCGAGGCGTGGACCCAACACGTGCTTCAACTGCAACCAACCGGGCCACTGGAAGAAGGACTGCCCGAAGCTGAAACAGGGAAACAGGAACGACGGAGAGGGGTCGGGAAAAGAGACGAGTCAGTAGCAGTCGGGCCACCTACTGACGAGACCCCGTCGCCCGGCAATCAACATCCACACCGAGTAGTGGTACCGATTGTTAAGATACTAGTGTTTAGAGGGCTTAGGAGCCATTGCTAGTGAGTTCTTAGAAGCTAAGGTTAGGGTTGAAGTGAAGTGTCGAGAAAGTTGAGAAGGGGAAATGAGGTGTTTCACTATAGGTGGCAACAACATATAGCAAAGAAACAAAGAAGGTGCACCACCAAACAAAGTTTATAATAACTACACTAACGATAGCTACAGGCAGTTACAAATATATTCTGACACTCCCCATAACTGCCTGCAGCAGAAGCTAATGCAGAGACACCCCCTGAAGGGGTACACCATGCGCAGTAGAAGGAGAGGGCAAGTGAGGAGGAGGGACTATATGAGGAGAGGCTGCTGGCAGGTGAAGCTGCTGGCTCCAAGGCGGCTGCTTCCTGGAACCTTCTTCAGTCCTCCAACTCCCCCTTCCACACTCCTTGACAACCCTAGCACCTCTCCCCCAGCTCCCCCACACCTCACACCCCACCCCCCCAGCAGCAGCTTGCAGCAGTGGGAGAGAAAGGAGGAGGAGGGGAAGGGGATCACACACACCCATCACCCCCATACCCGCCACCCCATAGCCTCCGTTCCACGGTGCACACGCCGCAGCAAGGAGACGAAGAAGGGGGGGGGGGGGGGGGGGGTGGGGGGCCAGGGGCAGACAGAGAGAACAGAGCGCACAAGGGCGCAAACA